TATGCTCAGGCGTTCCCAACTCGTGATCAAACTGCAAAGACAACAACTACGACATTTTATAACAATTTCATTGTCTATAATGGCTTACCAAGAAGGCTATTAAAGATATCAAAGATATATATCATCACGTATATGTATATATTTGATGCGCTGTCCTTTCCGTAGTCTACAATGAATTGAGACTAATTAAATCCAGAAATACAAAAAAAAATGTGTATGGAATAACGATCCTATCCCCGTTTGGTTTGTGTACCATAGCTGGGTAATCCCAACATATATACAATGTAGATGTATTGTTAATGCTATAGTCGATGCCGACAAAAAATGCTCGCTGCAGTTTTTCGCGTTCCCCTTGTAGAACCTCATTGGTATATAAGGGGGATAACTCTATGAACATTTCCGGTAGTAAAGCGCACATGTGTTGAGAATTGATGATGGTTGGTTTTACACTGGCATCATTTTGAGAGTGATAACGATTATCTTCACTTCCTTGACTTAATCAGCACGAACATGAGTATAATACCATGTCTGACGTGGGTAAGGCGAGGTGTCGCTAAAAGTAGCCCCGAGAAAGTAAGTTTACATCTGATCTACGTGATATGTACATGTGTTGACATCTGTAGCTTGCCACACAGTAGTACTAATATTAATACACGGCCTCCTCCTGACGACGCAATATAAAAAAACATGTCTCATCGTCAGAAAAGCTACGTTATCACAGGTAGCCACACAGTAGCTAGAATAATAGTCGTTTTACTTATTCAAAATAAGAACAAAATGCTAAGCTAATGATTAAGTTTAATGATACTAACATTCATTAAATATATGGGAACAGCTAGCAATTATGTAATCAATTGGGATGTAGATATCAGGCAGATAGGTTGGGAACAACCTCTCACACGATAGGATGCTGTGTAACTCCTAGTCATCCTCCCAAGTCAGAGGATAAAATGCCTCTGAATTCCAACACATTTGTGTATGGAAAATCTTAATCAATTTTCTTAAAAAATAACCAAAAAACAGGTAACATTTGCATGCACAGAGTGAAATATTTAGGCTATAGAAAAAAAATGTTGTCAGGTTTGTTAACGTTTACGATTGTTGAACAATTACTTGAAAGTGTTCATATAGCCAGTTGAAGTTATGTATTTCATCTCATGATATAAACAGTTTTATATAAATGTAAGCTAAGTTGAATTTAAAACTTTTATAGAAATGTAAGTTAAGTTGAATTTAAAAGATTAAATCAGTTTTGTACAGTATGATTTCTTCATTATTTTACTCCATTTAGATATAAAAACTGATTATACCTAAAACGAACAATATCTATTTTTACAGGTTAAATTGGAAAAAGAAGACCTGAGGAGAATCATAGAAGAAACCAGAGAGTGTGTAAATTACCAAGATCCATATGAAACATCATACATGTACTTGCTACCATGTAAAATCTTCAAAGAGGCAAAACTGCTTCGGAAAAATAAAATATCATGTCTAGATATATATTTATATCTACCCTATTTTTCATCATAGCTGTTTTATGCAATAAATTGATTGAATTCAAGCAATAGCAAGATGTGAGAAATTCTGTTGATCAACTTGATTTCAAAAATCAAAAAATGAGAATGAAAAAGATGATAAAGTTCATCATAAATAAGGAGACTTTGCAGGTACATGTATGCAATGACCTGACTTGATTTTACTTGATACACCGTAACACGTAAAACGTCTTCTCAATGTTGAACAAAATATTTTAGATAGTAAAGAAGGAGATATTATAGATTATTAACATGAAAAATGTCAATAATTAGTCGCAAACTATTTGCTAAATTTAAGCCTTGTTCTCATAAAAGGAATTACAAGTAGTAATTTATGTGCAGTATTCCTGACTTGGTAGAGAAAGGTTTGCTTGCCTATTCTTAACTAATAAAGTTTATCGTATGTTTATATTCCGACTGTGCAAAGTTTTTTCTGAGGGTATAGAATTTGTGGTCATTTTCAGAACTGAGGCTTGAGACCTGCCATACATATCTAACACAATTTGAGCATGAGACTTGCAAAACGTTCTTCAGAAAATTTCCTCACAGCATAGGACACATTTCTCATGAATTACAATCAGTCCCATGAAAGGAACATTTTGGTCAATCCTAATGAAGAAAATATAGCCTCATGGATTCACTATGGTCAATGACAGGTCTTAGATCACAGACCAGCCACTTAAACTATTATTATTTTTAACTTAATAGAGAACTTGAGGAAGATGAACCATCGGACACGTCAGAAGAGGAGGAGGAGGAAGAGGAGACTAAAGGAGCTTCCGGGGGGAAGATGCAGAAGAAGGTTGAAAAAATAGATAAAAAAAAGAGGAAGCACGAAGACAATGGAACCACAGAGGGTGATGATATAGTGGACAAATATGGATTAGATGATTATGATGATGACAATAATGAAGATGGTAATCTAATATCTATAAAATTCATATTACATAAAAAACATGTCTACAGCTGAAGATTCAATTGTTGCTGTAATAATTCTTATCTTGGTTAATATAGAATTAAGTTTAAGTTTTCTGTTCTGTTTTTATTTTTCATGCAGCAAATTGCTTGTAAGCTATATGGATAAACTCTGCAATTGATTAAGGTTATAGAAATATATATATACGTTAGTGAAATATTATGAAAAGCATCCATGTGTATGTGTATGCTCACATGCATTTGTGTGTGTGGATGTATTTACATATGTGTATGCATATGATATTAAGGATATGGAAAGGTGGCATTTTCTGATCCTGTACACTCATATATGAATATGACAGAGCAACGAGGGGTGTAAATATATTAACTAATTTGTTTTACAGGAGGGTAGCTATATCCTATAAATGTCTTATATCCAATAAATAAGTCTTATATCCTATACATATGTTTTACTGAGAGGGTAATTAAATGTCTTACAGGAAGGTAGTTTTGCTAGTCATTTGGAATGTATGTACTATCATATAATAATTGATTTCCCTTCTTCTGTTATGTTGATAGAACGTAACCCCCTTAAAGGACTTGGTAACTTGGTATACTACACAAGCAACGACGACGACCCTTACATCACGCTTAAAGATGAGGTAAGGCATTGTTTCATCAGTAGTGAAATATAGAACACATCATTGGAATAAAATGGTGTACTTAAACATTATAATGCCAAAATAGTTTTCCAGTAACATATATATAGGTTATCTAAAGGTGTCTTCAGTGATACCAGATATACCTCACAGGTGTGGCTAATATTTTGATATTTTTGACAAGTGCACGGCACCAATGAAAGATTGTAAAATATTAGCCACACAAGTGAAATATATTTGGTATGACTGAAGACACTATCAGATAGTCTGTTAATTACATTTTTTATAGCTCATAGGACATGTAATTATAAGCTTATGTCATGGTGCGGCGTCCGTCGACCGTCCGTCAATCTTATGTTTAAACAACTTCTTCTGAAGGTCCAAAAGTCGTACAGTCATGATATTTGGCCAGAAGCATCCAATGGAGGCGCCCAACAAAGTTTGCAAATGAAATGACCTTGACCTACTTTCAAGGTCAAAGGGGTGAAATAGATCTAAACCTTCAAACAACTTCTGAAGATCTGATTGCCCTAAAGTCATGATATTTGCCTAGTAGCATCATATGATGGAACCATATGAATTTGCGAATGAAAATGACATTGACCTGTACTTGAGTTCAACAACATTTGGACATGAATATGCCTTGCCCTACATATACTTTCAAGGTCACAGGGGTCAAATAACTGCAAACCTTTAACTGCTTCTGAATATCCAATCAACCTAACTTCACAATATTTGGCCAAC